CGCCGTACACCTTGCCGTGGTGCAGCATCTCCTGCCGCACGATCTTGAACGCGCTGTTGGTCAGAGTAGAGAACAAGGTTGGGGTTGCAAGGAGTAGCGGAAATGCAGGATTGAGATCGGGCACAGGCTAGTAAGACAAGGAGGTGAACAAGATATCAAGGCGGCTAAAAACACCAATGGACATAAACCGATGCACATGCACATGGCACCATGGCATCATCACATCACCCATGGCATTGTGGCATCACCCATGGCATTGTGGCATCATCACATCACCCATGGCATTGTGGCATCACCTTAGCATCATGGCCTGAACGCTTAAAGGGCTTTCATTTGTCAAAGGATACAGGTCTCACCGGTCAGCATTCATGGAGTAGCGAATGTTTCGAGTCTGCCCGGACACCATAGGCGTGACCGATCCGAACCCGGTCTCAAATGCTTCCCGCCTGCCAGCACAGGGACGCCAAAGGAGGTCGGTATTTGCACGAGGGGGCAGCAAGGGGGAGCATGCATGGGGAGGGGGATGAGGGTTTGCAGGAGGGGAGGGGCGGTTGCCTCCGATGAGAAGAACAATGCGTGTGAAAGCAGCTGAGGTAAGCTAGCAGATAACTCAACTGAGACCGAGCATTTGAGACACCTCGGGATGGAGAATTGGATTTGAGCATTTCACACACTCAAAAGGGGCAGGAACAGGAGTCCTGGAATTGGGATTTTCCAAATCAATGCTGCAGTGCTATCCTGAAGCATACGGCATCCGTCGCGCATAATGATGGTAACATGCATCAGGAGTGTTACAACTCACGTGAGCCCGTCGATCCACACGATGGGGTCGTTGGGTTCGGCAATCTGCCTCCATCTCACACCAATGCCATACACGTCTCGCCACCCCACCCCCACCCCCTCCTCCACCTCCTCCGCACTGAGGCCCCTCGCCACCTGCCCCCTCCCCATCCACTCCCCCCATGCCTTCCTCACTGTCTGCATTATGTCTAGCGCTGCCAGACCTGCTGCTTGTTGCTGGGGCGTGAGTGAGGAGGGGCATAGGTGAGGAAAGGAGAAGATAGGTGAAGGGAGAGGGAACGATCAAAGAACTGGCCACTCTCCACCCGCCCCCTCCCCATCCACTCGCCCTACGCCTGCCTCACTGTCTGCATTATGTCCAGCACTGCCAGACCCGCTGCTCGTTGCTGGGGCGTGAGAGGGGAGCAGCTGGGATCAGAGGAGAGACGAGGAGAGGAGAAGAGAGAGGGAGAGAATTGAGTAGCTCGAAGGGAGGACAGGATTAAAAGGATGAGGCTAAGGCGAACGCCGAGACAGGATGACAAGGCTAAGCACTCTAGGGGTCCACCGAGCATTGTTGAAGTATAATACCAAATTCCGCAACTCAGCGCCTCTCTCCGCACCTCTCTCCGCCTCAAACGCACCCAGCAGCATCATGACCCACAACCCAGCACGCACCTGTCGCAAGTTAGGCACCTGTCGCAAGTTAGGCACCTGTCGCAAGTTAGGCACCTGTCGCAAGTTAGGCACCTGTCGCTCGCAAGTTAGGCACCTGTCGCAAGTTAGGCACCTGTCGCAAGTTAGGCACCTGTCGCAAGTTAGGCACCTGTCGCAAGTTAGGCACCTGTCGCAAGTTAGGCACCTGTCGCAAGTTAGGCACCTGTCGCAAGTTAGGCACCTGTCGCAAGTTAGGCACCTGTCGCTCGCAAGTTAGGCACCTGTCGCAAGTTAGGCACCTGTCGCAAGTTAGGCACCTGTCGCAAGTTAGGCACCTGTCGCAAGTTAGGCACCTGTCGCAAGTTAGGCACGTGTCGCTCGCAAGTTAGGCACCTGTCGCTCGCAAGTTAGGCACCTGTCGCTCGCAAGTTAGGCACCTGTCGCAAGTTAGGCACCTGTCGCTCGCAAGTTAGGCACCTGTCGCAAGTTAGGCAGGAACCCAGTGGTGTTGTACTGAACGAGCCGCCCAATGGCGTCAGCTTTTTGCAGCAACGCCTCTCGGTTCGCCTCGAATTTCCTCTCCCCCTTGCGCCTGTGCTGCCGCCTTTGTGTGCGGAACACCGCCTGCAGGTCCTGCATCTGGTACCCCCTGGCTGGTAGTTGCCCTGGGAACTGCGCATTGGCCCAGCCCTCCTGTTGGGGTGGGGGGAAGGAGGGGTGGATAGGATAGTGTGAGTGGAATGGGCAGCGTGAGACGACATGGAGGGTGTGGGAACACCGCTCACAAGTCCTGTTGTATTTTGAGTCGACTCAAAATACAGCGTGAGACGACATGAAGCGTGTGCGGAACACCGCTCATAAGTCCTGCATCTGGTACCCCCTCGCTGGCAGGTGCCCTGGGAACTGCGCATAGGCCCAGCCCTGCTGTTAGGGTGAGGAAGGGGAAGGGGGGACGAGTTGTTAGTGTGTGAGAGCATGCAGTGTGAGCATATGGAAAGCAAGTGAAGACATGGAGTGTAGGTCCTGCATTTGGTACCCTCCAGCTGGTAGGTGCCTTGGGAAGTGCGCATTGGCCCAGCCCTCCTGTGGGTGGGGGAGCAGTGCAGGGCGGGAAAGAGGATGACGAGTTGAAAAGGTAACTTATGAGTCGACTCAAAAGTCTCCTGTGGGTGGGGGTGCAGTGCAGGGCGATGACGAGTTGAAAACTGCACAGTAAGAGAGAGAGCGACCATTGGGGTGGGAACATGGATATAGAGAATTAGACAGATTCGAACCGCAGCAAGCCCGATGCCCTCAACTGATCTTACTAAAAAATAGCTGAAATGGTAGGGTGGGTCATGAGTAGACATGGTCAAAATGCGATGCGATGCGATATCGCATCGCATTTTGAATTATCGCGCTCGCATCGCCGCGATATTAAAAAAAAAATTCCCAAAATCGCATATCGCGTTTTAGGTGCGATATATCGCGCGATGCAATAAAATATCGCATCGCCAGGGCTAAATTTCAGGGTTAAATAAACTACAGCAGCAATTTGGATAGTTAGATAACTGGGAACTGCCGAAGGGTTTCAAACAGGGGCACAACACACCATTACAACGTCGCTTCTAATAAATAAACAGCAAAAAAAATTTGGCGAGCTCCAAATATCGCGGGCGATTTTTAATATCGCAAATCGCATTTTATCGCGCCCAAAAAAGTGCGATATAAACGCAATATCGCAAAAATCGCGCGATATAATCGCATCGCATCGCCGCGATATTTGTAAAATAAAAATAAAAATCGCAATCGCAAAATGCGATATAATGCGATGCGATATGACCATGTCTAGTCATGAGAGTAGGAAAAACGTAGAAAAAGGACTGCAATAAGTCACTTAGTAAAGAACCGGAGGCGTACGTTTCGGCCAGAGTCGTCGTCAGCGCCATAGGATTACAAAATGGCTAAAGCGAACCCTATTTCTACCCATTCCCCTGTTATCTGCTTGACCCCCCGAACTCCCTTAGGTTTGACTAACTTCAAGGCGTAATCTGCCCAAACTCTCCACAGCTGCCAATTCTGCTCGTCCAAATCCCTCGTGTACTTGTAGACCCAAGGTCTTTGGGACTTCCGTGCCTACTTGGTAGGTGAGTTCGCGTTATCAGTGAAACGCACTCGTACCAACAGGCTGTGGAACCTGGTTAGTAACTTCCAACTAATCAAAAACTGAGGGAGCTTAAATCTGGCTACAAAGGAGTCATTTTTTAGAATTCTCAAAAAAAAAATCCAGCCCCATACCCGTAGTTTTAGGGCAGGGTCTTATCTTCAAGGGCTGGGGTGCCTCCCTATGTTTTTCATCCGTACAGGCCACTTTTGAGTCGACTCAAAAGTCACCTTTTGAGTTGACTCAAAAGTCACCTTTTGAGTTGACTCAAAAGTCACCTTTTGAGTTGACTCAAAAGTCACCTGGGGTGCCTGATGTATGGACGTGTTGTGATAGGGCTTGCACGCGGAGGCAGCGAGGAACTAGATAGAATCGGCCTTTGAACCAGAAATTGTCGGGGATGAGAACCAAAGCCTTGAAGGAGTGGTCGAAGTGGCCATCTTGCCTTGAAGCAAGGCAAGGGGACGGAGGAAATATGCATCTCGCCCCGACAGGGGAACTATGAGCCTTGCCTTGAAGACGCGGTTGAAGTGGTCGTCGAGGCTGAAGTGGGAGAAGGGCGCATTCACGTTCACTGCCATATGTGCTGCTATCTCCCGCTGTGACAGGGGGGGAGGAGGGGGGAGGAGGGGGGAGGAGGGGGCAAGGAGGGGGGAACAGAGGTGTTGCCGCCATGGACCATAGCACACGTTCACCCGTTCACTGCCATGTATGCTGCTATCTCCCGCTTTGATGCAAGGGGGGGAGAGAGGGGGGGGGAGGAGGGGAAGCACGGAGAGGGGAACAGGCGCACTGTGACATGGAACCTAGCTCACGTTGACCGCTATGTAGGCCGCTACCTCATGCTGTGTGGCTGATGTGTTTTGAGTCGACTCAAAAGTCACCTATGGCACCCAAGTGGTGTTCCCTAGCTCACGTTGACCGCTATGTAGGCCGCTACCTCATGCTGTGTGGCTGATGTGGGGGAAGACAAAAGGGCGGGTGACGGAATGAGCAAGGGTGGGAGTATTTTGAGTCGACTCAAAATACACCTGTGGGGGAAGAAAAAGGGGGGGTGACGGAATGAGCAAGGGTGGGAGGACAACGGCATTGTGACATGGACCAACGTTGACTGCCATGTATGCCTCTATCTCCACGTCGTGTAGAAGGAGTTAGTCTTTTGAGAATTCTAAAAAAACTAACTCAGCCACGTCGTGTAGAAGGAGAAAGGGGAGTGGGTGGGGGGCAGAGACCAGAGAAGGGAGAGAGGTGAGAAGTTAGGCCCTGTGGACTGTAGCGCACATTGTGTGCCATGCATGCTGCCCTCTTTCTGCAATGGAGGGGAGAGGGGGGCGGGGGGAAGGGGGGAAGGGGGGAAGGGGGGGGTGGATGCCTGGTAGACCATCAAGCATTGAATGCAGAACGTTTGACGGTAGAGAGGCCCTGAATTGAAGTGAGGAAATGGCAGGAACCAAGTGAAGTTGAGTTCGGTTAACTGCGGTTGGCAGGAACCAAGTGAAGTTGAGTTCGGTTAACTGCGGTTGGCAGGAACCAAGTGAAGTTGAGTTCGGTTAACTGCGGTTGGCAGGAACCAAGTGAAGTTGAGTTCGGTTAACTGCGGTTGGCAGGAACCAAGTGAAGTTGAGTTCGGTTAACTGCGGTTGGCAGGAACCAAGTGAAGTTGAGTTCGGTTAACTGCGGTTGGCAGGAACCAAGTGAAGTTGAGTTCGGTTAACTGCGGTTGGCAGGAACCAAGTGAAGTTGAGTTCGGTTAACTGCGGTTGGCAGGAACCAAGTGAAGTTGAGTTCGGTTAACTGCGGTTGGCAGGAACCAAGTGAAGTTGAGTTCGGTTAACTGCGGTTGGCAGGAACCAAGTGAACTGACCTGGTAGAAGGCGAGGTACTGGAACCTCTCATCGCCCGACGGCTGCAGAGAGAGAATGCGATCGTAGAGAGTCACCTGGGGAAGGGAGAGAAGGACGATGACGGCGGAGAGGGGAATGGAGGATTGAAGGGGCCCGTGAGCATGTGCGCAAGACACGGAGGGTTGAACACTGCACTGAGTGATTAGCAGAATAGCTGGAATCATTAGTGAAGTCAACAGTAGTCAACAGCAGACAACAGCAGTCAACAGCAGACAACAGCAGTCAACGGCAGTAAGCCTGTAAATAGAATATTCGGTATTCGCACACTATTCGATATTCGGCAAATACCCGAATACAAAACGATTTCGAATTGGCTGTTTATTTGGAGGCATTCGCGGGGTCAAATATTCGTCTCGGACGAATATTCGTTTGGTTTATTCGCAAAGTATTCGTTTCGAAATGGCATCATATCTTGCCCTCTTGTTTAGCGGGGGGCAAGGGGAAATGCCCGATACTGAAGAAATCTGTCGTCAGATTTCAGGGTGGGGCTAAAGTAGCCATAGGTTATCGACAAAAAAGGTTCATAGCCTGATGATTCGAGACACATTTGTATTCGTCTCGTCTTCAGCTCGCCAGTATTCGACGGGCAGAAAACTATTCGGCCAAATACAAATTCAGCTTCTATTCACAATTATTCGGCGAAAAATATTCGAACTCGAATTCGTATTCGTTTTTACAGCCTTAAATGGCAGACAACAGTAGTTAACAGAAGTCAGCAGCAGTCAACAGCACTCAACCGCAGTCAACCAGTCAACAGCAGTGAACTCACGGCCTGGGAGAAGTCCCCCGTGGCGTGGTAGCAGGACGCCTCAAAGTAGCGCAGCTCCACATTGCTGGGGTGGCGCTTGAGTCCCTCCTGTAGGAGACGGATCACCCCGCTGTGGAGGTGGTGGGGAGGAGCGAGGGGGGGAGGGGGGGGAAGGAACAGAGGAGGGGACAGACTATCAGGGTGGTGGTTGACTTGAGAGCCTCTCCTGCAGCAGACGGATCACCCCGCTGTGGAGGTGGTGGGGAGGAGCGAGGGGGGGAGGGGGGGAGGGGGGGAGGGGGGGAGGGGGGGAGGGGAGGGAAGGGGGACGGGAGAGGGGGGGACACACCATCAGGGGTCGGCCTCTTCTGAGGAGATGGATCACACGCTCCTGGGGCGGGGGAAGGAGAGCGACGGGAAACCAGGAGATTGGTCATTTGGCTAGTCAGGCCCATGGGTGTGTGGTTCTGCAGGTGTCTCAATCCACATCCACTCACAGAACCAGCACACCCACGGATGATTCATGGTTCATGAATGTTTCTCTTCTCCCACTCCAATCAAGGGTCCGTGCCAGTTCTACATGTCCCTTGGAGTAACTTAACTAAACATCAGTTCTACTTGATCGACTCAACTCAAAAGTCACCTCCCCATAACTCAACGTCACCCCACTGCTACCATCTCGTCTCACCTGTGATCGCCCACACTGTGCCTTAGCTTCGCCCACAGCTTGTATGCGAGCAGGAAACTGCAACATGGGGGGGGGGGGGGTGGGGGGGGGGGCAGGCAGTGGGGAAGGGGAAGGGGAAACAGCCTCCACTTGCCCAGTGCCGCACCGCCCACACTGTGCCTTAGCTTCGCCCACAGCTTGTACGCTAGCAGGAAACTGCGATATGTGGGAGGATGGTGGAGAGGGCGCGTTTGCTTGTGGGTATGGGGTAGACATTGCTCGTTAGAAAGGCGCATGGATTTGTTTAATGAAGAACAGAACTGCTGAGAAGAACCAGTGGTAGTCCACCGACAACAGGTGGCAGGGTTTAACAACCCTAGACCCACAACACAACGTACTTGGTCGAGCGCATTCACTTACAAGCTAAAGCACAGCCTTGCGTATCCCCCATACAAGGTGTCCCACTCAATCACCTCACTCACCTGCTATATAAACCTCCAGTGCCTGCCTGTAGCATCTCTTAGACTCGTTGAACATAGCAATCTCCTTCAAGGTCTTCCCCCACTTAGTTAACATTCGCCCATACCCCATACAAGCACACGCCTATCCCCCATACAAGCACACGCCCATCCCCCATACAAGCACACCCCCCTATCCCCCATGTCATACAGCCTCCTCCACTTACCTGCTGTCAACCTCTAGTGCTCGCTCGCTCAGACTCGTTAAACATCACAACAGTTGGTCCACCCCTCCTTCAACTCCACCCCGTGAACACCTCCATACACAATCCACTTACCTCATCCACTCTCAGCTTCCAGCGCCCACTTGTGGCATCTCTCCGACTCGTTAAACTCATGGTACGCCCCCAGTTGGTCCACGTCCACCCCTCCTTCACCTGCTTCCCCCTGAACATCCCCCATACAAGCTGCCCCACTCGCTTACCCACTGCCAACTTCCAGCGCCCGCTTGTAGCATCGCTCCGACTCGTTGAACGTCGCCATCTCCTTCATCTTCTGCCCCCAGTTGGTCCACCCCTCTTGCCCCCCTCTACCTATTCCCCATACAAGCTGCTTAGCTCACCTGCTATCAACCTCTAGTGCCCGCTTGTAGCATCGCTCCGACTCGGTGAGCGTCGCCATCTCCTTCATCAACTGCCCCCAGTTGGTCCAACCCTGCTAATCCCGCGTGCCATACATACAAGCACCTCCTCTCACCTGCTATCCACCTCTAGTGCTCGCTTGTAGCATCTCTCCGATTCATTGAACATAGCTATTTCCTTCATCGTCTGCCCCCAGTTGGTCCAGCCCTCCTTCACCCCCGGGTTCATCGCCATAGCCGCCTCGTAGCTTTTGACGGCTTCGAATGGCGCCCCTGTTGCTGTGAGCGCCAGGCCCTGCGGGGGAAAGGCACAAGGCCAAGGGAGAGAAGGGAATAATAAGAGGGGAAGCTATGGGCGAAGAGGGAAGCAGGAGAAAGTAAGGCCCAAGAACGGGGTATGAGGTGAGAGAAGAGAGCCATATTCGTTCAGGGAAGGGAAAAGCATGAGCTGATGTGCAGCAAAGGTGCCAGGGGTTGGACGTTACAAGAGGTGTGGCTTGAAAAGCTTCGAAGCGATCTGTCAGAAACGCAACCGCTTGCCACTGCACTAGAAGGGCATGTTTCTGTAGCGGAGTAGCGCGCCCACAACCCTCGGCATAGAGGCCCGTAGCCCTTCCCCAGAACCCGCTAGGGCAACCCCGGTGTGTCCCTTGACACGATCTCCCTGGCCGCATAGAGGAAGAGGAAAAGCCCATAGAGACGCCATCGCCGATCGCCCTCATGCAAGGCCCACACCGCCCTCATGCAAGGCCCACACCACCACCCTCATAGTTGGGCTTACAAGGAAGAGGTGCGGCTTGAAGAGCTTCGGGGCGATCTCCCTGGCAGCGTAGAGGTCTGGCAGGGCGTCAGAATAGGCGTTGGCGTTCACGTATGCCGCTCCTGGTGGGGGGAGGACGAACGAGGGGAGAAGGGCCGTATAGAAAGGACAGGAGGGAGAGGTCTGGCAAGGCGTCAGCATTCGCATTGGCGTTCACGTACGCCGCTCCTGGTGGGGAGAAAGGGGAAAAGGCGAGGGGGCGAGGTGAGGGCAGGGCATGTGCATAGGTGCTAATGTTGACGTATGCCGCTCCTGGTGGGGAGAAAGAAGAGGGGAGGGAAGGGCACTGGAAAGACTGATGGCAAGAGGCAGGCAGGGCGTCAGCATATGCATTGGTGGCATCAGCATATGCATTGGTGGCGTCAGCATATGCATTGGTGGCATCAGCATATGCATTGGTGGCGTCAGCATATGCATTGGTGGCGTCAGCATATGCATTGGTGGCGTCAGCATGTGCATTGGTGGCGTCAGCATATGCATTGGTGGTGTCAGCATAGGCATGAGCAAAACCGGGTATTTACCCGACCCGACCCGGTTTTGCTATACCCGACTTCGGGTCGGGTATTTTTGGGTCGGGTACGGGTCGGGTACGGGTCGGGTAACATGCCCAGGACCAATACCCGGACCCGGGATTTGGGGGCGGGTAATTTAATACCCGCCTGGCGGGTCCGGGTATACCCGACCCGGTATTACCACTCTGAATGCATCTGTATCTACGAAACCCAACCCTTGCCAATCTACAATGCTCTAAGTGACCTAGCAACTCACGTAACCTAGAAACTTGATGAAATTTCTCTACCAGCACGACTAATGTCTCGCTGGTTCCGTCGGGTAGACCGCTACCCGATTTCGGGTCCGGTACCCGCTACCCGACACGTCGGGTAGCATTTCGGGTACCGGGTATTGAATACCCGCCCGGGTAACCCGGACCCGACCCGCCGGGTAATATTCAGGATTTCCGATACCCGACCCGCCCTAAAAGCGGATCCGGGTACCGGGTACCCGACCCGGGCGGGTAGTATGCTCAACCCTATGTCAGCATATGCATTGGTGGCGTCAGCATATGCATTGGTGGCGTCAGCATATGCATTGGTGGCGTCAGCATATGCATTGGTGGCATCAGCATATGCATTGGTGGCGTCAGCATGTGCATTGGTGGCGTCAGCATATGCATTGGTGGCGTCAGCATGTGCATTGGTGGCGTCAGCATGTGCATTGGTGGTGTCAGCATATGCATTGGTGGCGTCAGCATGTGCATTGGTGGCGTCAGCATATGCATTGGTGGTGTCAGCATATGCATTGGTGGCGTCAGCATATGCATTGGTGGCGTCAGCATATGCATTGGTGGCGTCAGCATATGCATTGGTGGCGTCAGCATGTGCATTGGTGGCGTCAGCATATGCATTGGTGGCGTCAGCATATGCATTGGTGGCGTCGGCATATGCATTGGTGGTGTCAGCATATGCATTGGTGGCGTCAGCATATGCATTGGTGGCGTCAGCATATGCATTGGTGGCGTCAGCATGTGCATTGGTGGCGTCAGCATGTGCATTGGTGGCGTCAGCATATGCATTGGTGGCGTCAGCATGTGCATTGGTGGCGTCAGCATGTGCATTGGTGGCGTCAGCATATGCATTGGTGGCGTCAGCATATGCATTGGTGGCGTCAGCATGTGCATTGGTGGCGTCAGCATATGCATTGGTGGCGTCAGCATATGCATGGGTGGCGTCAGCATATGCATTGGTGGCGTCAGCATATGCATTGGTGGCGTCAGCATATGCATTGGTGGCGTCAGCATGTGCATTGGTGGCGTCAGCATATGCATTGGTGGCGTCAGCATATGCATTGGTGGCGTCAGCATGTGCATTGGTGGCGTCAGCATATGCATTGGTGGCGTCAGCATATGCATTGGTGGTGTCAGCATGTGCATGGGTGGCGTCAGCATATGCATTGGTGGCGTCAGCATATGCATTGGTGGCGTCAGCATATGCATTGGTGGCGTCAGCATGTGCATTGGTGGCGTCAGCATGTGCATTGGTGGCGTCAGCATATGCATTGGTGGCGTCAGCATGTGCATTGACGTTTACAAACGCAGCTCCTGGTGGGGGGAGGAAGAGCGAGGAGAGGTAAAAGCAGAGTGAGAGAGGTGAAGGAAGCAAGCACGGAGCAGTGGTAGGGGCACTGGATGTGCTTGAGGGAAGGGCAAGAATGGGATCGTCTGCCTTTGGGTGTGAGCAGAGTGTTTTTTAGAATTCTCGAAAACTCTCTGCAAAATGAAGGGCAAGAATGGGATCGTGTGTCCGTGGGTGTGAGCAACAGTGATTCACCTTTGCAATCATACCGCCTGTGGCATGCATGGATGTACTCGTGGGGATACGGACCACACAGCCTCACAGGAAATCGCCTGTTTCTATTGGCACCTCTGTCGATTGTTACCTTGCTCTAATGTCACTTTTTTTTAGGCGCCTCAAAAATAGATTGTTTTTGAGGCGCCTCAAAAATAGATTGCTACCTTGCTGTAATGTCACCTTTCTGTAGTTACCTCTCTCTATAGTCCTCTCGTTCTAAAGTCACCTCTCTCTTGTCTCGCGCCAGCATCTTTTGGATCCTCGTTGATCACTGTCGTCCAATCAGCAATGGCCTGCGGGGATCAGGGGGTGCGCGCAACCATGAAGGAACGTGGGGCACAGTGGAGACATAAGTAAGTAAAATGCCGTGGATGATACGTCACGCATAGGCAGGCAAGGCAAACCAGACGCCCTGAACTTGACCCATCTGCCCTTGTTCCCAAGATGTGGATGGAAAGTTGATGTTTGTGGCTCGCAATATGTTGGTACACTCAGGACAACCTTATGCTCTTGCTCTGTGACCACAATGTATTTGTACCCCCCCTGGACTGGAGAGACCCACCTCCTCGAGTCAACCCATAATGCCAGCACCCACACATGCGTTTCAAGACGTCTCAAAATTCCACCCCCCTCTGCACCTACCTCCTTGTGCCGCCCCATGATGCCAGCACCCATACATGCGTTTTGAACGACTCAGAATCCCCCCCCCTCCTGCACCTACCTCCTTGTGCCACCCCATGATGCCAGCACCACACGCGTTTTGAGACGACTCAGAATTCCACCCCCCTCTGCGCCTACCTCCTTGTGCCTCCCCATGATGCCCAGCACCGATGCCCTCTGCCGGAGGATCTGGCTCGCTGCCTTGGGCGACTGCGCTATGGCCTTTGGGGTTGGGGGAGGGGGGAGGGGGGAGGGGGGACGACGTAGGAAGTGAGGGAATGAAAGGGAAGTAGAAAGGAGGAATGGTTTATTGACCGAGGGGGTAGTTGGAGGACTTGAGTGTGGTGCAGCACTCTGCTCCAACCAGCATGTTACAGACAGACACTCAATGCTGCTCACTTGATACCTAGATAAAGTCATTGAGTGCCTGAAAGAGCGTGTTAAATTCACTGAGGCGCCTCAAACTTGATACCCTGAGGCGCCTCAAACTTGATAACCTGAGGTGCCTCAAAGAGCGCACTTGATACCTTGTTAAAGTCACTTAGTGCTTGGTCATACTGCTCTGCAAGGGCGTGCGCCATGCCACGCCATGCCAGAAGCACCATTGTCTCCTCCGCTCCCAACTCCTGCAGCTGAGGGGTGCAAGGGAGAAGAGGGGAGGGGAGGGAGAGGGAGTTGGAGGGGGAGGAGTTTTGAGACGTCACAAAGTGATTTGCCTGTGAGGGCACTTGCCATGCCACGCCATGCCAGAAGCACCCTTGTCTCCTCCGCTCCCCTCTCCTGCAGCTGAGGGGTGCAAGGGAGGGGAGGGAGGGAGAGGGGGAGGAGTTTTGCAATGTCACAAATCTATTTCTCTGAAAGGGTATGTGTGCCATGCACACCATGCCAGAAGCAAATTTGTCTCCTCCGCTCCCCTCCCCTGCAGCTGAAAGGTGTGAGGGGAGGAACGGGGCGAGAGAAGATGGGACGGGGGAGGAGAGGAGAGGAGGAGAGGAACGTTGGGGGGTGAAAGGATGTGATGCTATGCCATGGAGGAATTGGATGGAGACTGCACAGGGATGGCATGGCATGACCTGGGAGAGCACAGCATGTCTAGGCATGTGATTGAAGCGACTGTGATACGCATTGCATAGGATACAAACTGTTGGAAGATATACTTATATACAACATGCATGACTAGAATAGGAGGTGTTGACATTTAAGTTATTGGGGGGTTGTTGGTTGGGTTCACCAACCACATTTTGGGTTGGTCAAGATTGCATTTGGTCCTTTGGTTGGAAATTTTCCAACCAAACGGTCCCAAGGCTCAACCAATCAGCAACCACCACACTTTGGGGTTGCTTCCCCTCCAAGCCATCTCTCCCATTGGCCACGATTGTAGCCAGTAGGAGTGGCTTCCAACCTTTCCTTTGCTCCTTGGTTGTACTATAGAGCATCTTGGCTCCCTTTCTAGTTCAATGCTTTCTCCCAGATGCCAGCTCTTTCAAGAACGGCATGGCATGGCTCTGCATGGCATGGCATGGCATGGCATGGCGTGGCATGGCACAGCATGGCATGTCATGGCATGGCACAGCATGGCATGGCATGGCATGGCACAGCATGGCATGGCAAGGCATGGCGAGGCATGGCACAGCATGGCATGGCACAGCATGGCATGGCATGGCATGGCATGGTGCAGCATGGCATGGCATGGTGCAGCATGGCATGGCATGGCATGGCATGGCATGGTGCAGCATGGCAAGGGTCAGAGAGGTACCTTGGTGAATATCTGAAGTGCGTTTCTGGGATCGCCCATTTGCACCTGAAGTGAGGGGCAGGAGGAGTTGAGGGACAGGGGGAAATGAGGGGCAGGGGGAGATGAGGGCAGGGGGAGATGAGGGGCAGGGGGAAATGAGGGGCAGGGGGAGATGAGGGCAGGGGGAGATGAGAGGCAGGGGGAGATGAGGGCAGGGGGAGATGAGGGGCAGGGGGAGTTGAGGGGCAGGGGGAGTTGAGGGGCAGGGGGAGTTGAGGGGCAGAGGGAGGTGAGGTGAGGGGCATGGCGGCAGGGATGGAGAGGGGTGGCGGAAGAGGCATGGTGAGAATGGGCATGAGAGTAGAAAAGGATGATCGCACGCGACCGAGAAACGCGAGAGAGCGGGGAAGAGGTAGAGCATCCAGCCCTCTCAGTCATCCATCTTTCCAGCATGCATGCACAGCTCAGTCCTTGCATTGCATGCACAGCTCAGTCCTTGCATTGCATGCATGCATGCAATCATCGCCACATACGCCCATGCATGCACCCATGCCCTCACCCATGATGCACCCGTCTCATACCAGCCTCATAGCTGCTTCCAAGGACGATGCTATGTCTGCTGTCTGACCCTTCTCCCCATCTCTCCCCCTCCCACCGCCTCCTCTCCCCTCCTCCCTCACCCCCGCCCCCCCACCTCCCTTCCCTCGCTGACTCCTCTCCTCCCCTCTCCCCTTCCTCCTCTCCTCGCTCCTCTCCTGCCGCCCTGCAGACACCTCTTCCTGCTTCTTCCTCTCCCTTTCCCTCTCCTGGTCCTCCCACCTCCGGCTTCTCCTTCCCCTCCTCCCCTCCCCACTCTCCTCAGCTCTTCTCCTCTCCCCTTCCGCGACCCCCCTACTTCCCGTCTCACCCCTCCCCTCCCTCCCACCACCTCTGCCTCTGCCGGCCACTCCCTCCCTGCTGGGCGGCACAGCTTGTCTGCTAGTCCTTCGGGAGGCTCTATCCGCCCTCCTGCCTCTCTCCCTGCGGATTTCAATGCAGAGCTCGGCCTCATTGCCAGCAGCAGCAGCGGCAGCAGCAAGTTCGGCCGGGGAGGGGAAGACCTCGCTCTCACCCTCGCCATCCTCTTTATAGTCCTCATCGCCAGAGGTGAGGCTTTGGAGAGAGGTGAAGGCAGCGGGGTTGAGGAACGCTATTGCAGGCGGCAGGGCAAGGAGAGAGGTGTCTGGGGGGTGGGTGGGGGGGGTGGGGGGGTAGGGGGGTGGTGAGGACGGCAAGAGGAAGGGCGGGAGAGATGGAACGGATTTTACAAGGAGAGGTGATAAGGTCAGGGGAGGAGGGGAGTAAGAAAGTTTGTCATATGGGTGGGTCAATCAAGTGAAGGCCGTGTATTGCTCTCTGCTCTTACCTATCTCTTGGTTCTTTTCTCTCCCTCTCTCCCTTTCCTTTATCACCCCCCTTTTTTCTCCTCGCCCTCCCCTTTCCCCCCTCTCCTTTCCTTCACCACGGCCCTCCCCTCCCCTCTCCTCCCCTCCCCCCTCACCCGTTTTGAGGAAGGGCGTGGGACACGTGGCACGCCATGGGCTGCCCTGCAGCTGCTGTTCGTTCCACTCCCCGGACGGCGCCCGGCCAATCACAGGCAGCCAGCTGGCGGAGGAGTTCGGGCGGCGGGGGGAAGGAACAAGACTGGGGACGGCATGACGACTAATGGCGGAACGACAGTAATTTGTGAAGACTGCAAGATTCGACGAACCTAAGGCGCTCCTACGACGCATCTAAGACGCAGCATGTCCACATTCGGCGTACCAACTCCAGGTGCGAAGCGGTTCAGTCCAGATACGATGTATCCGTCGGCGAAGGATACGCCTAGTCGGTTTGCTACCCCTTCCCTTGTGTGATCTCCTCAAGGTATGACTCGCGTGACTTTCTAGACCAGTTTCGAAGCTTTCTCCGACGCGCTTTCATAATCAACGCCTCTTAATCGAAACGCCTAGAATGTCCCGAGCGCGTGCGACGAGACTACGATACCGAACCTACCGGAGCAGCTTATAAGGAGGATACGCATTGGTTGTGTGACTCCCACCCACCTCAAGCGACCAGCGGCACTCCCGTAGTCGCGCATTGTCGCAGCTACGGCGTCCTTCGCGCGAATAAATACCCGCTCGCCGCATTCTGCGGGAGAGGCCGAGGCGACCACTGTCCGTGCGACAGGCACGGAACTGGCGACGGTATCTGCGAGCGAAGGGGACTCTCGGTACACGTGGCAGAGGGTGAGGTTTAGAGAGAGACAGATAAACGACGCCGCTGCTGTTGCTACGGAGACGCCCATTGCTGGCGCCACGTGCGGAACCGGGAAAAGTTGGTCTTTCCTATTCCTACTGCACAGCGCAGCTAGCACGAGCAGGAGTCGAAGCAAGCAGGCAGCACGAAGGTCTCGAGCAGGCCTCTCGATAACCTAGGGGTCACCCTGCAGAATCCGAGTTTGCCCTGGATCCAACTCGTCCAGGCTGGGTAGCCCTAAAACTTTTGACTGTTTTTGCAGGCCAGAGTTTCGACCAGCTCGGAATGTGCCACTCCTGACAATGACAGGGGGAGCCATTTTTTCTAGGGCTGCGAACTTTTACATTAGATTTTACAGGGTGAGTCCATCCCCTACTCGAAAATTGGCCGTGGGATGATTTTGGCTTGCCTGTCCGTGGACGGGTATCGATATTCTGAATGTCTCGAAAGCAGGGCTGGGTCGAAAATGTACCATATTTTCCCTGACAAATCAGTGTAATTACCCTGACTTCCAGAGGCCTGGTCTCGAGGTGGTTCAACGTTGGTCAAAATGTCTACAGTGAATTTGTGCCTTTCCGCGGGAAGGGAATTTTATCTCGATGTAGTGAGGAATGGTATAAGATTGTATCGCAGTGCTCTGTAACGCGTAAGCCTGGTCTCTAGGTCCATTCCCCATCTCGCTGGATTGTTCCATAACACCTCGCCAAGCCCTAGGTGCTGCAGGTGGTGACTCCTTGCCCAGTCATAGTGCCCTCATGCGTTTTTTTTCGTGGCCCATAACCAGATCTCAAATTAAGTATTTCTGGAGCTTAGGGACGCAGTCGCAGGGCTTGGGCAGGTAGATGACGCGTAAAGCCGCATTCTGCGAAGCAGCTTAAAAGCAGATTGACGACTCCAGCGCGGAATACGCCCTCGGCCTGCTTTCGTCGACTCCCTCGTGCAAGGCAGGAGATTCGTTCGAGCCTTCCCCTCGCATGCCTCTTCTTGCCAGCACCGCAATAACCACCACGATCACCGAGCTGATGCGCCATGGCGTTGACTGCGCATGACTCCAGTAATCTCGAGCATACCCAGGCTCCAGGAAAGCATCGGCGAAGCCAGATGCTGCGCCACATCCAAGCTGCGAAAGCTCGACGAACCCCGATATGTTCGAGCCGCCGCCCCCAGATGCGCTGCGAGAAAGGCACTTCAATGGACGTGCACCAGATTAACGATCTTTATTTAGGACGCTGTTGCCCCGGTGTGAATCGCACTGCACCCTTTCAGCTACTACTCGCCTGAGCTCGCATCTTACTACTCTCGTCCTCTCAGCTCGCATCTTACTCTCGTCCTCTCACCTCGCACCCAAAATCTTCGCCTTTGCGTGGCTTGGCCTAGGAACTCGAGTCGTGACTCCATTGACATTCCTCAGGATGACGCACCGCAAGATCCTCCTTGCCGTCTTGCTCCTGCTCGCCGGGCTCCTCGCGCTCTCTGTCCCCGCCGCTCACGGTAAGCGCGACTCACCCACAAGGGGTCTCCTCGCATCGTCTTGTCAGTTCCCTCAAACCCACTCAACTGGATACCTGCTCGTCCCGCAGGGGCTCGCTTCGGACTCTTTTCAGGCGCGAGGAGGGGGCTCCAGTCCGACGCCTGCGACGACGCGTACGACGCGACCGTGAGTGCGTGCGACAAAAATGAAGCTAGGTGCTTGAAGAAAGCGCGGAACTCTAAAGCGAGGCAAGATCGCTGCAGAGCCCAGGCGGACGACTGCACGTGGGGCGCGGTGGACGAGTACAAGCGATGCACGAACCCGGAACTGCTCGGGTGCCTGATCCGGTGCTCAATGGACCAAAATCGCTGCAACCGCGCGTTCGACATGGGATACGTGGATACGCGAGATCCGATGTGTGAGAACGACTTCAACGAATGCAACAACGAATGCGAGACGCTTTACCCTGAGAAATAGGTACCTATCAACAGGATTCTTGGAGGTACTGGCGGTAGTTAGTGCCTGCTTAGAGCATAAGTTAGCCCTACAGTACCCATGTCCCGTTTGACCATGTGTTGTTTGACTGGAGTGGAGAGCATTGCATTTCATGGTCCGAGGATCCTGAATGCTTCAAGATGGCCACAAACAGCAGTGTAGGCAAGGCAAGCATGTTTTTATTACTTGTACTGCAAGGGGGGGGGCTGTACCGTTCCTACCACACCATGGGTGAGGTTGAGGTTGAGGGGAAGACAGATAAACAACGCTGTTGCTGAAACGAGAAGCCCATTGCTGGAGCCAAGTGTGGGACTGACTTTCAATGATTAGGGCACATTATGAATCACAGCATTTTTGTTCTTAGTACAAGTAGTTTTGGTGGAGATGTATTTAGTGAACAACCACTGTAGTTCTGCGAAAAGGCTTGGGATTTGCGACTTATACCGCGGTTCTCTGTAGGAGTAGCATGGGCTTGTTTGAAACAAGCACCTGTTTCCAAAGCTGTTTTACTTAGTCGAGCGTTTTCTCCCCACTTCCACACTACCTACCTTTTTGCACCCATGCCCCCGTCATGCGGGATTCTCCGAGCCAGTGCAAGAACCCCGTGACAGCAGAATCCATGTCAAGTGACCCCGAGCCATACTTAGTCAAGCATATTCCCAGAGTGTTGATGCAAACTAGAACAAGCCCCCTACTCTGCCTCACCGCTCACCCTCCCATTTCGCATGGTCAACTTTGTTGGTCCGACTCTTGGTGCTTAGATTTTCTCGGAAAGCAAGTTTCAGCAACATTGGGTGCGGGACGAGGCATTCTGCTCCAATCATGTCCGCCCGAACACGAGTATGTTCGTCACAGCTCAACACGCATCACCAATTCGCCGCTAACTCCAGCAACGCAAGATGTTGCCCCGCCTGCATGTCGCAAATGCTTCGTCGAACCTGGATAGCACCTGACGATGCTTGAGGCGCGGCTTGCCGTCCCTTCTCTAAAAAAGAGTAATGAGGGGCGGCGCGCGAAGGGCCTCTGGTAGTATTAATATCGCTGCTGGCTATCAATGTTGCGCATCGCAACCTTTCACCTACAGACTCGTGGTCGCGTGCCTTTCCACTCTCGTTCCTCAGCTCGCTAATCCACCAACCTTAGCTTCACAAGTTGGCTTGGCGACTCCGATTCCTTCACGAGTCGTGATGCCACTCCGCAACCCCCTCCTCGCTGCCCCCCTCGTCCTGCTCGCCCTGCTCCTCGCTGCTGAAGGTAAACGCGATTCCGTCATGAGCCGACTAAGCCTCGAACTCTCGGCTTCTTCGTTAGATTTCAGAAGATTCGGAATGTCTGCTCAATTAGTACTCGTTCCGCCAGACAGCGAAGTGCTACTTGTGTCCTCCACCCCGCCCCTATGGCCTGCAGGGGCTCGTTTGAGGCACGTACCCCGCCCACGGAGGATGCTCCAGTCGCTGGGGACATGCTCCGAGCAGCACGGAGCTACTATGCTCAAAACGTGTGTGCTTCTATCGGTGTCTGACCGAGGCGCGGAATGGCAGGATGCGCGTGAGACGGAACAGGGTTGCAGCGCGCGCTCGGGTCCCAAGGATAATACATGTGACACGGGGATTGACACATGCAACGAGCTGTAACTTAGCGCTGCAACGAGGCAGACTCCACCTTCCACCAGGCTCACTTCTCGCCAGATTACTGCATTCAACCAAGCAGTCAAAGAAATGCACTGCACCGTATCTGCATCTAGCTGCCTGTCAGAAGGGTCCCTTAACCCTCTCAGGTTGATTTTGCACTACTGTAAGCTGCATAACATTGAATTTAATACCTTTCAGGTTACAGCTACCATACCATGACCATTCCCAAGCCACCATGGTTCCTTCCTACGGTGCACCTCTTTAGAGGGCTCTACTCCAGTCCTACACTGGCACCACATGATGGACAACGAACTGCTTGTCCCTATCTCGTCCTATCCCACCTACAGTAATCTGCCCACATCACATCATACAACATTGTGCGGCTGAGCCCAGGCCAGCTTACAGCCTTCAGACCACGGCACAACGACTAGAGACTACCTACAGCAAGCCCACGCCTCTGGAGCTGCTGCTTCTGCCCAGCCTGGCAGCACTCGCACTGGCAGGCGTGGCCGTGCTCGTGAGACCCTTGCCTCTAGGGCTCGCAGGCCTCGATGCCAGGCGCCTCTTATCATCCCTCTTCTCTTCCTTCTTCTCCTCCCTCCCCACTTTCTTCTCTGCATCTGCTTTCACCCTCCTCTCCGCCTCGCCTCTCCCCTTCTTGTCCACATCAGCCTGTGCGAGCCTAGCGGCAACGGCCTCATGCTCCGCCCTCACTCGCGCCAGCTCATCCTCTGCTGTCTGTGCCGCCCATTTGTACCCGTCCAGCTGTGCTGCCATGTCAGCAAGCCTTGCAGCCAGCTCACCCTCATGCGACTGCTGCCCACTGTTGCTGTCTGCTGCTCCCGCACTCGCCAATGCCCTGGCAGGAGACAATAGGAAACACAGTGGCAGTGACAGTGGCCGTGGCAAGAGACATGGAGTGAGCACTTGTAGAGAGTATCAGCTGCACCTGCACAGGATCTAAGTTCCTCTACATGGCTGTGGTTACTTCTCTTTCAATCCCCAGTCTGCACTAGTCCCCACACCCAGACTTCCGACCCACTACTCAGCAGCTCATGGCACCCCACTCACCGCTTGAACCTGCGAAGGACATGGCAGCACAGCTGTACCCCTCCATCAGACCATCAACCCGTGTGCATGTTGTTGGCCATTAAAGCCTATCCCAACTCAGACTCCTGAATCACCCTCGTTCGAACATATTTTGCCCGCATACCTCCCGCCCGCCACTCACCGCTTGAGCTGCTCCTTATACGAGTTGTTGGCCTCCAGCGCCTCTGCCAGCTCTGTCTCCAGAATCGCCATCCTCTCCGCCACGCCACTCGCCACACGCTGCGCCCCCGACTTGCGAGGGTCCTGGAGTGACAAGGGGCGGGTTGGGACAGGCAGAGCAGTGAAGTGAGCAAGAAGCAAAGGCAGGATATGGAAGGCATGAGCAGACACATGCCAGGATTGCTGTTCTTTCCACCGTGCCACCAGCCATGCGCTGTGCTCCTGCCTTGTTGGGTCCTGGGGTAATAAGCAGCAGAATAGAACAGCCGCAGGGTGAGAGTGGATTGGGGGCGAGTGCGTTTGCGCACTTACTGTTGAAATAATGGATTGAGTTTGGCGGACTGATGAAGCTGTGACTTTCTTGGCCCCCATCCAGGCCCTCCCCACCATGCCCTCACCTGGCATCAGTGGCGGACCCCTTGTGTGCTGCCAGCGCGACCAAAACCCACTCTCAGCCCTTCCCACCCCTCCCCACCACGGCCCTCACCTCGTGTGCCTCTGAGGCGGACCCCTTGTGTGCTGCCAGAGCGCACCGCAGCTCAGTCTCCCTCACCCGCGCCTCCCCCAGCTGCTGCTGCGCTTTGCGCAACTGAAGGGACCGGGGGATCACGGGAGGGGTGGGGAAAGGAGAGGTTACTACTTACATCTGGTCAGACGGGGGGGTGTGGGAAGAAGAGATCACAGGGGGTCGTGGGAAGGAGGGATCACAGGGGGGCGTGGGAAGGAGGGGTTACATGATGTGGCAGACAGGATAGTGCTATCATTTGCAAGCCCATCAGTTTCTCTCACATTAAGCCCTTCCTGAGACATCTTCAAAACCAATCTCTCTCCCATATCCCCACATCCATGCATTCAGGTCCTCTCCACGCCCATATCCTGAAACCATGCCCGTATCTCCCTCCTCCATACCATCCCTATCTTCCGTGTCCCTACCTCCTGGTTCAGTCTGGCCATGGCGTTGACTCCTTTGCTCCCCAGCTGATCCAGCCTGTCTCCCCATAACCTATGCTTACTCTCCACAGTCCACGCATCAAGCCATCTTCCCCACCCCTGCCTCACTCACCTCCTGGTTCAGTCTGGCCGTGGCATTGTCCCCTTTGCTCCCCAGCAGCTCGTTTGACGCCTCCAGCTGCTCCAGCCGCTCTGTCAGGCTGCGCTCCCTCGCCTCCGCTGTCGCCCTGCTCGTCTCCAGCGACTGCTCCAGGGACCGTACTTGATTCTAAAGGAAGAGCAAACGGGGTGAGTGGTTTGGGATGGATTGAGAGCGGTGTAGCATGTTGGGAAAAATAGAACGCAGCGGCTCTGTCTCACTACCGCACACCATCTGCTTTCTCATATCACCCCCCCCCCAAACACAAGAATCACGGCTCACCTCAAGTGCCTCTACTTGACTCGCCACCTCACCACCTCCCCCACCCCCCCTTCCCCAGCAGCAGCCTCCCTGGAGGCGTCCAGCAGCCTCTCAGCAGCAGCCAGCGCCTCTACCTTGCGCTGCAGCTCGCTCTCACCCCATTTGCTTCTCATCTCGGCCCCCCAAACAGCACAAACAACAAGAAAGATGTCTCACCTCAAGTTTCTCTACTTGACTTGCCGCCCCCCCACCTCCCCCAGCAGCAGCCTCCCTGGCGGCGTCCAGCTGCCTCTCAGCAGCGGCCAACGCCTCCGCCTTGCGCTGCAGCTCGCCCTCCAGAGCCATTGTGCGCCGCCTCAGCTCCTCCACCTGCCGCTCCGCCCCCCCCTCGCCCCCCCGTGCCGCCATTATCCCCCCGCCCGCCCTCCCCGCGCAAACGCCCCGCCCCCTCCCCCGCCCATCATCCCCCCCCCGCCTCCCCCCATGGGCCTGCCTTTCATGGCGCTACCAACCCCCACACCCCCCAACCCCTCCCCCTCCCCCTTCCCCTCCGCCACCTGCTTCCTGAGCTCCGCATTCTGCTGCTTCAGCTGCCTCACCTCCTCTGCCAACGCACTCGCCACCGCCCCTCCCGCCCCCCCAGCACCACCCCCAGCACCCCCAGACCCACCAGCAGCAGGCACACTCGCCAGCTGCTGCACCCTCTCCTCCAGATCCCTCACCTTCCCCTCCAGCCGCCCCTTCTCCTCCCGCAACCCCCCCACCTCCCCTGCCCTAGCCGCCAACTCCCCCATCTCCCCCTGCAGAGCCACATGCCGCGCCCTCAGATCCTCCAGCTCGCTCATCCCCTGCTCCATCTTGGCCAGTTTGAGCGACAGGGTCAGTCGCCGCTCCTCCAGCACCTGCTTCTCGGTCCTCACCGCCACCAGCTCGCTCTTCACCCGCTCGCACTCCTTCACTTTCACCGCCATGCTCCCCTGCTGGGCGACTAGAGCGCGCTTCTCCCCCTCCAGCTCCTCCCTCGCCGCCTCCAGCCGCCTGTTCGCCTCCTCCGCCTCCCCCAGCTGCCTCAGGAGCACGTCCCGCTCCTCCTGCACCCCCCTCAGCCCAGCCGCTGCTTCCACAGCCGCCGCCGCGTCCCTCTTGAGCCCCTCGGCCTCACTCGCCCAGGCCGCCTCTCTGCTGCGCGCCGCTGCCTTCTCAGCTGCCACAGCCCGCCTCTGGCTCTCCACCTCCAGCTCCGCCTTGTTCCTCTCAGCTATCGCCTCCCTTAGCTCGCCCTCTGCCCGCCTCAGCCGGTCCTCCAGCTTCCCCTTGGCGGCTCTCAGCTCCGCTGCCTCCACCGCGCTCGTGTTTTCTCTCCTCAGGTTGCCACTCGCGCTCACAGATGAAGATAGCTGCTGAGTCAGCAGCTGGACCTCCGCCTGTAGCCGCGCTACAGCCGCCTGCCGCTCCTCCTTCTCCCGCTTCTGCCCCTCCTCCGCCTTGGCCGCCCTCGTCTTCGCCTCGTCCCTATCCCTCTCCACCCCTTGCAGCCGCGCAGTCAGCTTCCCCTCCACCTCTTTCAACCGCGCCAGATCCCTCCCCATCTGCTCCCTCACCCTCTCCCCTGCCGCCTCCCCTGCCGCCGCCCTGGCCTCTGCCGCCTCCCGCTTCGCCTCCTCCTGCCCCAGCACCCTACCCAACCGTTCCTTCTCCCTCTCCATCTCCTTCACCCGCCCCTCGAGCCCCTGTACCTCACTCATCAACTCCCCCTCCCTCGCCTCTGCTCGATGCAACCTCCCCTCCAGCTCCTTCCCTCGGCCCGCCTCAGCTCTCGCCTCAGTCGTCACCACCACCAGTTGCGCCTGCACCTCTGTTACCCTCTCCTCCGCCCGTCTCCTCCCCGTGTTCGCCTCCTGGAGCTCCGCCTCCAGCTTGCTGCACGCCCCTTCCAGCCGCAGCATCCGCATCTCCACCTCCCTCCTCCCCGCCCCCGTCTCCCCAGCCACCTTCCGAGCCTCCGCCTCAAGCTCGGCAATCCTCTTCCGAGCCTCCTCCAGCTCCTTGCCCTTCCCACGCCCCGCCCCACCACTCCCCATCCCAGACAACTCCCTTACCTCCCACTCCTCCAGCCGCTTCTCCAACGCCTTCACCTGCCCCTCGAGCTCCACAATCCGCCGCCTGGCCTTCTGGTTGCTCTCCCGCATGCCCTCTATCTCCGCCACACTCATCCCTCCGCTGCACCTCACAGCAGCAGCAGCAGCAGCAGCGGCAGCAGAATCCGCCTTGGCTTCATCCAGTAACTCCTGCATGGCCGATAGCTGTAGCTCCACCTCTTGCACTCTAGATTCCGCCAGCCTCCTCCCCTCGTCCAGCTGCCTCACCTGCTTCTCCAGCCCCGCCTTGTCGCTCCGCCATGACCCCATACCAGCCTCTAACTCCTGCATCCTCGCCTCCACGTCACCCTTCTCCCCCAGCAGCTTCTCCTTCTCCTTCGCCAGCTCAGCCGCCTGCGCACGCCACTTGGACGCCACCTCAGCAAGCAGCGCCACTTTGCCAGCCGCATCCAGCCCCTCCGCCCGTGCTGCCAGCGTGGCAGAATCCTCCAGGTCAATCCCACCTGTCCCATTCTCCAGCACCTGGGCCAGCCGCTCACTCAGCTCCCTCCCCGCCTCAGCCTCATCCGCACACTTCTTCTCCAGCCGCCCCACCTCCTCCACATACCGCGTCAGCTGGCTCTCCACGTCCGCCCTTGCCTCTTTCAGATGCTCCACCTCCAACTCATGCCGCCTCTCCGCTTCTTCCCTCGCCCGCCGGCCCGCCGCCAGCAGCTTCTTGGTGCTCTCCAGCTCAGCTTCCACCTCCCTAGCCCTCCTCTCATACTCTTCCAGGATACTCAGTCTATCGTTCGCCCTCTGTGTCGCCATCTCAGTGACCCGCACCTTGCTCCTCAGCTGCACCGCCTCCTCCTTGGCCGTCTGTGCCTCCAGCCGCTGCACCCGCAGCTGCTCCAGCAGCTCCTGCACGCGCGCCTGCAGCTTCCGCGCATCTTCCTCGTGCGCGCTGCTGCCCTCACTGCGCACAGCCTTTACCGTGGTCTCTGATTTCTCGGAAGGTTCTTCTACCACAGGAGCAGGGGCAGCAGTGGGGGGAGGAGGCGTCGGAGGCGGGAGAGGGGGAGGAGGAGGGGGAGTGCACTTGGGGCAGAGGGCGGGGGAGGAGGGCTCAGAGCACTTGGGGCAGAGGCAGGGGGCAGGAGGAGCAGGGGGCGGCGGCGGCGGCACGGGCCGCTGCTGCCTGAGCTGTACGGGCTGGTACAGCTTGGGCTTGGGCTTGGCCTGCAGCAGCTCCACTATGCTCGCCGGGAGACCCCTCCCCCCTCTGGCCGCCACCAGCTCCTGCTTGAGCCGCTCGATCAGTGCATCCTTCTGCTCCGCCTCCTTGTTCGCTATGTTCAGATTCGTCGCCAGCTCCAGACTCTCCGCTGTCAGCTCCTGGGCTTCTCGCTCCAAGTCCTCCACCTTCTGCTGCAGCTCCAGTAGCATGCTCTCATCGTCACACGTCATCCCCGCCGTCCCGCTGCTCTCCTGCCCATCGTACCCCGCGTACCGCTTGCTGCCATACCCCCCCCTCACCTCGCCTTCGCTCTCTGTTGCTAGCTCCAGCTCGTCTCGAAGATTCCTTGGCACCAGCCCCGCCCGCCTGTCCGTCCCTCCCCCGAACAGACTCCTCTTAACCGACGACTGCACGCTTCCGCCTACCCCCCCCACGCCTTCCGAAACCCCCGACCCACCCACGCCCACATGCCCCTCTGGGGCCGCGTTCCCCCCAGCCAGTTCCGCCAGGCGCCGGCTCCACTCCGCCTCCCTCTCCTCCATCTGCTTCTGCAGCCGCTTCACCACCGCCTGCGCCTCTCGCCTGTCCTCAAACGACTCCTCCGCGTCCCTCCTGTACTTAGCCGCCTCCCCCTCCGCCTGCTCTAGCGACTTGGAGAGCTCCACGTTGTCCCGCTGAAACACCTCGAGCTGCGCCGATAGGCTGTCCACCGTGCCCTTGAGGTACTCCACCTCCTCCATCAGCACCTCCAGCTCCCGGCTGCCCTCCATCCCGCCCCGCATGCCCCCCGCCCCGCCCATGCTCCACTCGCTCCCCTCCCCCAGCACCGAACCCCCCACATCCCCCGCGCCTCCCCCCTTCCCCATCCGCAGCTGGTTCAACTCCTCCTGCAGCTGATCCCTCTCGCCCTTAAGTTCGCCTATAGCGATATCCGCCCTCTGGTCCTGGGTAATTGCCTCAGCCAGTTGACTCCTTAGGCTCTCCACCTCCCTGGTGAGGTTCCTCGCGTTCAGCTGGTACTTCACGCAGTCTCTCTGGAGCTCCTCTATAGCCGCCTCTGCTGCTGCCAGCTCACCAGGGTAGTCCCTCATGGCAGCCGCGCCTGCCCCACCCCTCCCATTCCCCACACCATTCAGCGCCCCTAGAGGGTTCGTCATGGAGCTGCCTACCGACCCTAGCGGGCTGAACCCCTCGGGTATGGGCCCAGCAGGCACAGGCGACATTGCTCCCGCGCTGGGGGACGGCAGGCCCGCAACCCCCTTGGCTCCCGCGCTCCCTCCCCCTCCGCTGCCTCCCCCCGGCCCTTGCCCGCGCGCACCAGCCCCGTGGTGGTTGCCATAGGCGGTGCCGGCAGCGCCACTGGCGGCGCTCCCTCCGCCCCCACTGCCGGCTCTACCTGACGTTTGGTAGTACTCGGGGTAGGCTAGGCGCGTGTGCTGGTGCTGCTGCTGGTGCTGCGGGGTGGCCACTGGGGACGAGTTCATGCTAGACGGCGGGGAAACCAGGTGTCCCTCCCCCCCACCGCCTCCCCCTGCGGCCATGCCGCCCCCTGCTGCGCTCGCCCCCCCTGATTCCGCCCAGGCGGGCTTATAACGCGGATCAGTGCCAGTGCCGGGGACGGTAGCAGTGCTGCCTACCATACTCGCAGGCGTCTGAGGCGTCCCTGCTGGGCCCCCCGGCCCCCCCGGGCCCTTGCTCCAGCTGCCTAAGGCCCTGCCTAACAACATGTCAGTCATGGGCGTTGCACCCATGGGGGTCGCACCACCCATGGACTCCATCCCAGTGGGCGACTGCAGGTCTTGAGTAAACTCATTCTCCCCCATCATCTCCCCAGGCGTCCTCTCCCCATACTCGCTCCCATCACACCCCGTATACCCCATCCCTGTCCCTGTCCCTGTCGCCCCCATGGAGGGGGTCAGCCCAGGCGACATGGCATCCGGCATGCCCCCCTGGGAGGTGCCGTCCGAGGCCGAGTCCATGGCGTACTGCCGCCTCCTCACCTCCTCCCGCTGCTGCCGCTGCCACTCGCGCTCCATCCTCACCCGCCTCGCCTCCTCCTCCAACTCCTCCTCTGCCTGCCGCATCTCCTCCCTCTCTTGCTCCTCCAACAGCTTCCGCTGCCGCTCCTGCTCCTGGCGCTGCCGCTCCCTCTCCCGCTCCTTCTCCTTCTCCCTCTCCCTCTCCTGCCTCTGCCACTCCCTCTCCTTGGCTGCTAGTTCCATCTCTCGCTGCTTCTCTCTCTCTTTCTCCAACTCACGCTCCCGCTCTCTTTCCTTCTCACGCTCCCTTTCCCGCTCCCTTTCCTTCTCCTTCTCCCTCTCCTTTTCTCTCTCCCTCTCCCTCTCCTTCTCCATTTCCCTCTCCCGTTCCCTCCTCTCTCTCTCCTTCTCACGTTCCTTTTCCCTTAACCTCTCCCGTTGCTCCTTTTCTTTTTCTCGCAGCCTCTCTCTTTCCTCGCGCTCCCTCTCCTTCTCCTTCTCTTTCTCCCGCTCTTTGCCCCTACTCCTGTCTCTCTCTCTTTCTCTCTCCCTGTACCTGTCTCCCCCTCTTTCTCGTTCTCTCTCTTTTTCTCTATGCCTATCATCATCCCTATCCCTATATCTATCCCTTTCCCGTTCCCTTTCCCTCACCTTCTCCCTTTCTCTTTCCTTTTCCTTCTCTCTCTCCCTCTCTTTTTCCTTATCTCTCTCCCTTCCTCTCTCTCGAGACTGTGATCTCGCCCTCACCCCCCCATGCTGTTTCTCCTTCCCCGCGTCCTTCTGTTCCGCCCCCTGTGCATGCACGCGCGCGGGGGAAGGGTCGCGCCCAAACCGCCCGCGCAGGGGAGATGCGTGGCGCGGGGAAGCATCCTTATTCCGCCAGAAGAATATCCCCCCCCCCCTCCGCCGCCCGCGCCGTCCGTGTCCACACTGACGCGCATCCCCTCACCCCCCACGGGCTGCTCCTTGGCACCCGCACGCCCATGCGCCTCCCCCGCGTGCGCCCCTCCACCCCTGCCCCTGTTGCGCTCATATAGGGCATCCGCGGAGTCGTTGTCGTCCTGGGGGGTAGAGACGGGGAGCAGTGGGGCGCACGGAAGGCGACCATAGAGAGTAGCGTGGGATGGCACTGAATTGGTTAGGCTAGTCACCCTACCTGGTCACTCTCCCACCTGCCCAATCGCCATACACGGTCGTGGTTGGGATATCAACTGACCTGATTAGATGGCAGACTGGAAGAGCGACCAATTGAAGGGGTTGCCGAAACTTGGGGTCCCTTCTGCTGCTGCTGCTGCTGCTGCTGATGGTGATGATTATTCGTTGGCTCGTTTGGGTGGTAGTGCTTCTGCAAGTCAGGAAGATAGAGAGATTGGGTTAGGCACTGGGTTAGGATGAATCATCTGGTAGGTGTACACCATCACAAATGAAACACGAAAGCACGCGAGGGGGCTACCTGCCTTCTGCTGCGCGCACCCGCCCCCTGCTGCGTGCACCCGCCCCTTGCTGCGCACACCCGACCCTTGCTGGGCGCACCTGCCCCTTGCTGCGCGCGCACCTGCCCCTTGCTACGCGTACCTGTCCCTCGGCGGTCCTACCTGTCCCTCGCTGCACCTACCTGTCCCTCGCTGCACCTACCTGTCCCTCGCTGCGCATACCTGTCCCTCGCTGCACCTACCTGTCCCTTTGTGGGCGTGGCGGTGTTGGGCAGGTCGATGCTGGACAGCACCTGCTCGCTCGCGTCCGACTTGCTCTTGCTCATCCGCTTCGGCCCTCCTGCCGCTGCTGCCCCATGCACCCCGCCACCTGCACCACCTGCTGCCGCTGCTCCTGCACCTTTAGTAGCAGCAACACCCGCGCCCGGCTTCTTGGGCGTGAGGTCCTCCTCGTTCTCGCTCTGGCCCGTGTCCGACTCCTCGCCCTCCCTGGGGTCGCGAGACGTGCACTGAATGGTCACCTGGAAGACGTGGCCGCACAGGCAGAGGAACCAGGAACGGACGCGGTCAGAAGATTAGTGAAGTGCTTCATGCCCGCTCAAAGCACAAAAATGACGCTCACAAGGTGACGGCTGTCCCACCACGCAACACTGCTACTAGAGGTACTTGCATGCCTGCCTCTGCGTCGAGACTTAAACTACCAGGGACACTCACGTGTAAGACGGTGCCTGCCGGGCAGCCTTCGCTTAAAAAACAAGGCAGAAGACTAATGGAGACACCCGGGCCACTCACGTGCAGGACGGTGCCGGCGGGGCAGTACTTGAGCGGCAGCGCGCGCTGGTCGAGCTGGTTGAAGCCCGCAAAGTCCGCCAGGTTCAGCGTCGCCTCGCCCAGAATGCCGCCCCGCGTGGAGCCCTGTAACGCGTACAATGGAATTCAGGAGATGCGGGGAACAGACGCACATTGAAGCGGAGGAGTTACTTCATATTTGCCATTGCGAAGGTTACAAGGGCGAGCGTAGGCATTGCCTGGCGGAAAGAAACCAATCTGCACCCTGCGCTCACCGTGGACACAATCAGGCGGTACACCTTCTGCTCGAAGCCCTTCCCCTTGGGGTTCCGCGCGAGGCGAGCGACCTCCGTGACGGTGTCGGTCCACGTGCACGTGCCGTTGCGCACCACGCCCTTGGGCGTCTGCCCCTCCAGCTTCCCCGTGTCCACAGGGATCAACGACACCACCAGCCGCTCGAACCCCGTCGCCGGCACCTGCCGTGTGTGGGGAGGGCGGATAAGGTTATTGTTGATATTGACTCGCCTCAGAAAGTGCTTCCATTGGGCGTCTGCTCCTGTTTTTGCCTCCCCGTGTCCACCGGAATCAGCGACACCACCAGCCGCTCGAACCCCGTCGCCAGTACCTGAAGTGTGGGAAAAAACATGAGTAGGATTATTGGTGCTTTTCACTTGCCTCAGAAAGTGTTTCCCTTGGGCGTCTGCCTCTCCAGCCTTCCCCTGTCCATCGGAATCAGCTCCATCACCGGGCGCTTGAACCCCGTCGCTAGTACCTGCCGCGTGGCCAGCAGAGGGCCATTGCAAGCGAGCGGTCAGGGATAGGAAAGGCAAAGTGGCGAGGTGGTCGAATGCTCTTAGATTAAGGAGCTCCGCTTGGCTAGTTTGAACAGTGCCTATTAAATGGCAGTGCTCTACTCTGACGTCACCCGGCGTATGTCGTAATTGTGACCCCAACGAAGCCTCAGTGGCTGTCGCTGAAAAACATATTGCAGCGGAATGCGGACATAGACCGGGAAATGCATCAACACAAACGTAGCTCTGCTGGCCTATATCTAAACGATACTATTCAGTAGCCGTTGCTTACCCGAGTGGCATGAAACCTAAATCGAAACTCGAATTTCTCCTTCTTGGATCCAAAAGCTTTAAACATCTTGGCAGAGCTTTTACTTCCCGCTGATAAGAGGCTACTAGACCCGACTTTCTGAGAGTTAGCCAACTCGCATGTAGGTCATGGCGAGCCGGTAGACCCCTATAAGATTAGCAGCAGAAACGCGAGCCTCGAATAACTTAGGAGCTTAAATCCTCGGAATTGCTTCACTTCGACACAGCTACCTAAGGGCCTGCTTTAGGAATGACCTGACAAGTCAACCGCGGAGGCAGAGAGGAGTGGAGCGGAAAGGTTGTAACTCCTAATTCTAGACCTGCCCCCCAGCCGAGTCAGTCAAAAGCGTCAGCTGCTTGCCTGCAAGGCTGATCCTCCCTGCGAGCCCAGTTTCAGCTCTGCACCCGCATCAGGCCTACGCTGGGATTCCCGTGGGATTCCTGAGATGAATCGAGCCACCTTGAGATTGACGTAAAGACAGGGAAGCGGTAGGCTCTAGGTGCCTGGTATGTGCTGCAGCGAGGAGGCGGATGCTGGACCCTGATTGGTGAGGAATCTCTCAAGGTCTCCAATCCCGTGACTTTCCCGCTCGCCATCAGGTGCAGGGCGAAACGCGCGAAATGTGAGACTCCTCTCCTCTCAAACGCAAAGCGCACGCCCTCGCTGACAGGTGCTGTCAGGGGCCTCCGTCGAATCATCTCAGTGCTACTGCGCCATACGTTATTGCGACATACATTGCACACATCTTATAATGTAATGATTTATACCAAAAGAATGTGACATACTACCACGCTTGTAAGGAATTTTATTCCTTACCGGGTTGTACTGCAATCGCGTACACCCGAACTCTCGGAATACCAGGATCGGTCCGATTCCGACGCAAACCCGAGGCTGGCTCGCTCCGCCTCCGGCCCCTTCGACCGCGCCTGTACCCAACCTAGCCCTCCGTGTCAACTTATATATGTCATGTATGTAGAAGTTATAGGCTAGTATCGGTGTGTGCTCCTAGTGAGTACAACCCAACTGCTATATGTTCCCTGTTTCCCCTTCTAGTTATCTCATTCTCGTATTCTAACATGGTATCGAGTAGGTTAGGTCCACCCACCTGCTTCCGCCCGCGCCCTAGCCTCTCGCCTCCCCCTACCTACCTAGCCCAGACCGGCCCTTAGCGCCCGCTTGGCCTGCAGCGCCCGCCCGCCCCTTAGCGCCCGCCCCTTAGCGCCCTCCAGGCCCCGTCGCGCCCTCCTGGCCCCGTCGCGCCTGCCTGGCCTCATAGCGCCCTCCTGGCCCCACGTCGTGCCCTCCTGGCCCCGTAGTGCCCTCCTGGCCCCCGTCGCGCCCCCCAGGCCCTGTTGCGCCCTCCTGCCCCCCGTCGCGCCCTCCTGGCCCCGTAATGCCCTCCTGGCACCCGTCGCGCCCTCCAGGCCCCGTCGCGCCCTCTTGGCCCCCGTTGCGCCCTCCAGGCCCCCGTCGCGCCCTCCTGGCCCCCGTCGCGCCCTCCTGGCCCCCGTCGCACCCTCCTGGTCCCCGTCGTGCCCTCCTGGCCCCGTAGCACCCTCCTGGCCCCATCGCACTCGCCTGGCCCCACCGCGCCCGCCTGGCCCCACCGCGCTCGCCTGGCCCTCTAGCGCCCACCTGGCCCCAGCGCGCCCGCCCGGCCTGTTGCGCGCGCCGGCCCCTCCTAGTGACCCCCCCGGCCCCTCCTAGCGCCCGCCCGGCCCCTCCTAGTGACCGCCCGGCCCCTCCTTGTGACCGCCCGGCCCCTCCTAGCGCCCGCCCGGCCCCTCCTAGCGCCCGCCCGGCCCTTCCTAGTGACCGTCCGACCCCTCCTGGCGCCCGCCCGGCTCCTCCTAGCGACCGCCCGGCCCCTCCTAGCTACCACCCGGCCCATCGACCGCTGGCTCGGCCTCCTTCCTAGTGCCGCCCGGCCCTTTTGCGCCCGCCAGGCTCCTAGCGCCCGCCCGGCCCCGTCGCGCCTGCCCGAATTCCTGCTCGCCCGGCCCCTCTTCGTGCCTGCTCGGCCTGCCGTGCCACCTCGGGCCCCGTCTCCTCTACTCACCTGCGCTGGGGCGCCTCGCGGCCGCCCTGCTGGAGAGTGCTGCCGCCGTGTCCTCGCGCCGCTGTGCTGCTGCGGAGCTGTGGAGCTGTGCCGCTGTGTCGCTGAGGGGCTGCGTCGCTGACCCTGCACGATGGCTGACTTCGTGCTCCGACTGGACACTGAGGGCCATGCGGTTGACTTCGCCGCGTGGCTCTCCGATCTCCGCCGACAGCTTACAGGTCAGCGCCAGGATGGCCACTCTTTGGTTGTCCATGCTGATAGCTTGCTCCCCCGCCCCCCTGCACCTGCTCCCCTCCCTGCTGACCCCTTCTCTGATGACCGTGAGGCTTTCTCTACTTCTGCGCTTGCCTGTGCGGTCTGGGACTCACGCGATGCAGTAGCTCAGGTTGCTATCAGTCACGCCCTCCCTGTGTGTGAGCGCTCGCATTTCGCTACGGTTGATACGGCCAAAGCTTATTTAGACGCCATTATTGCTCGCTATTCCACACCTGCATCCGCTTCTGCCAGTCGCTTGCTCTTCCCGATGCTGTTCCCAGACCTTGCTGCCTTCCCTACTGTCGCAGACTTTGCCACTCACTTGCGTGCCCTAGAGACTCGCTATCGCACTGCCAGCACTGCTGCCCAGCTCATTGCGCTCCCCCCCCCTTTCTGCATGACGCTCTATTTTATCGCCATGCGCCCGCCTGACCGCCTAGCTAGTGATGGAAATCGTGCAAATCTGGAGAGAACTAATTAGAGATTAAGTCTGACGACCTCAACGAATCATTGCGTGCTGCTCAGGTAACTTCTAGAAATGAGCTTATACGCGTTGGAAAGGTCTTAATCTCTACTTTCCAGAATGATAAAGCACGTTCATAACCAAGATCTGAGCCGCCGATTATGACGAAATCAGTGTGAGGGGGTATTCTGGTAATTTGGCTAGGCAGCCATGAATCACCTAGTAAAAACGAGAAGGGAAGCAGTTCGATCTGGAAAAGTTTCAGTATGTGATTGTCAAACACCACCAACCCTTGCCCTAGACCAAACCCCAACACTCTCAAGTGCCATGACTGCAACAACAAAGATGTTGTAGTGGATTTGAGGTTGTATGGGTTGGAAAGGTAACGGGTTCAAACCTTGCCAACCAACCCAAGTCCTTTTGCCCAAAACCCAATAGCCCACAACCAGCTAGAGCAAACTACACCACAGAATACTACACATTTATCACTCCCCCTTGCTCGTGCTGGGTGTGGCTCAACACCATAGGGCAAAAGACTTCACACCACTCCCCCTTGCTCATGGGTTGGGGCCACCCAGAGCATGGAGTCCGCCAAGGAGAGGAGCACCAAGACGCCGGCATCTGCTGCGGGAACCCTGTCATCATGGGGCTGCATCCCGAGCAAGGTCATGCACACACCATGGCGCTCAAATGGAAGAGACTTGGTAAGAATATCAGCAGCCTGACGGTTGGTAGGGCACCACTGCAAAATCACCTCACCCGCAGCTACCATCTCCCGAATGAAATGCCACCGGACCTGCATGTGTTTGGTGCGGCCATGCCAGCATGCATTCTGTGCAAGGGCAATGGCAGACTGATTATCCACAAACACAGGCACACCACCAGCATGATCATGACCAAACTCCCCAAACAAACGCCTCAGCCAGACACCCTCCTGAATGCACTGACACAGACTTATATACTCACTCTCAGTGGTAGAGAGTGCTACCACGGGCTGCCTCTTGCTCTGCCAAGAGATAGCTGCCCCATTCAGACAGAACACATACCCACTGTGGCTCCTGCGACTTGCGGAATCTCCAGCATAGTCAGCATCACTGAAGCCAACTAGCTGGACCTGAGATTGGGGCTGTGTTTGGAAGAAGATACCTGACTTGACACCACCTTTCAGGTACCTCAGCACTCTCTTAGCGGCCTGCAAGTGAAACATTTTAGGACAAGAGGCGACCTTAGATAGCTGTGAGACTGCAAAGGCAATCTGTGGCTGTGTGGTAGTACAAGCATACATGAGGGATCCCACAATGCTTTGGTAGAGCTTGACCAGCTCATCTCGCAGCAAGGGTTCATCCTCATAGGCATGCACATCAAAGCCTGTTGGGAGAGGAGTAGGCATGGGGTTGGCCTCTGAGAGACCAAAGGACTGAAGCATGTTAAGAATGTACCTCTCTTGATGAATCAAGATACCACTCTCATCACGTTCAATTTGCATTCCCAAGTAGTACTTCACCTCCCCCAAGTCCTTCATGCGAAAACGCGAGGACAAGAACTCTTTCACTCGATCTAGCAAAGCCTTGCTAGAGCATAGGAGCAAAAGGTCATCCACATAGAGGAATAAGGAGATCCGCTCCTCATCTCTCACAAAGTGGTACAAGGCAGGGTCACACTCAGATCTCTCAAACCCAAAATCCATGAGAGCCTCATCAAATTTTAGGTACCACTGTCGTGGGGCTTGCTTTAGCCCATAAATGGACTTTTTGAGGCGACACACTCGGTGAGACCCATCATCAAAACCAGGGGGCTGCCGCATGTAAAGCTCTTCCTCCAAATCCCCATGGAGGAAGGCTGTCTTGACATCCATATGATGGATATCAAGCCCCAAAGCAGCTGAAATTCCAAGCATACCTCTCAAGGTCGCATGCTTCCCAACTGGAGAGTACACTTCTTCATAGTGTACTCCCAATTTCTGCGTGTTTTCCATCACCACCAATCTGGACTTAGGCCTCTCAACAGTACCATCAGGGTTATGCTTGTATTTCCAAACCCATTGACACCTGAGGACCTCCAAACCAGGTGGTACCACTGCTGGATCAACCAGCTCAAATGATCCATTTACCTTGTGAGACTCAAGCTCCTCATGCATGGACTCAACCCATTCTGGACGGTTCAGCGCCTCGTGGACTGACCTAGGCTCATGCACCTGACCCATTAGACACACATCAAGAGCATACTCATGCCCATGCATGTCCACAAGCATGCAATCATCCAAATCAGACACAAGATGATCATGCATGCGTGCAATGTGCCCCGGGGTAAACCTTTCAGGTGGCTGGGAAATTCGAGCACTGCGTCGCAGAGGTGTTGCCTCTCCTTCTTCCAGCCTCCGCAGCTTCTCCTCCCAAGTCACCCTCTTCATTGGAGTCCTCGGAGTCTTGGACAGCTGCTGGTCCAACAACTGCTGCCAACTGCTTCTCGATGGAGTTGAAGGCACATGCTGTTCCGGCTGATCATCACGCGCATCGGCCTGCGTGGCTGGCTGAGGGGTAGAATCTGTCTCTCGGGACTCCTCATGGTTAGGATCAGCTGGTTCTGGCTCCTCCTGCTGCTCCTCCCCTTCATCTCCAGGGTCCTCCCATGCCCCCTCAAAGATAGAAGCCGTATGAGGGTCTTGAATGGAAGTCCCACTTTGGCTTGTACCATGCTCCTTCCACCCCTTAAAATTCAGCCCCTCATGGAAAACCACATCACGGCTCTCCATCACACGCTGGTCAGCTACACTCCACAGCACCCAAGCCTTGCTCCTCTCAGAAACCCCAAGGAAGATCCCCCACTGTGCCTTAGGATCTAGCTTCCTTCTTTGCTGGTCAGGTACCTTATACTGTGCCATGCACCCCCACGCTCGTGCCATGGAAACATTCGGCACCTTCCCTGTCCATAAGGAGTATGGGCTCTTGCCTCCAAGCCCCTTGCTGCCCATCCTGTTCTTCACCCAGTTGGCATACTGCACTGCTGCCCCCCACCAAGTGTTATCAAGCTCGGCATGGGAAAGGATGGCCCGAGCCAAATCGGTCAAGGTCCTGTTAAGCCGCTCCGCTGCCCCATTTTGCTGCGGCGTGTAAGGTACAGAGAGCTGGTGGGTAATACCCTTTTCTTCCAAGAAGGTTTGAAGTTCTTTCCCAAGGTACTCTCCACCCCGATCTGACCTTAACACCTTTACCTTGGCCCCTGATTCCCTCTCCACATAGCGTATCCACCGCTTAAACACCTTTGCCACCTCATCCTTGGTCTTCACCAAGGTGACCCAGCTAAGTCGACTGAAGTCATCAAGAAAGGTGACAAAGTACCTGCTGCCCCTTTCCCGGTCAGGAGTTTGCATCGGTCCACACACATCCGTGTGCACCAGCTCAAGGGGAGTCGAGGCATGATCAGAGGAGATAGGGAATGAGGTTCTAGGCAGCTTTCCAGACGTGCAGTCGGGACATTTGCTCTGCTGCCCAGCTCCTTCCTTGACCTCCACCCCCTTCAGCTCCCCCTTCTTCACACACTCCAGCAGTTGCTGCTTCCCCGCGTGCCCCATGCGAAGGTGTAGCAACTCAGGTGACACCGTTTCCACCTGCCTCCAGCGAGTGCTACAAGCGGCTTCCTCAGAAAAAACCATATGTGCCTTGTAACAATTAGGCACACAAGCTGGAACAAGGTATAAACCCTTGTCCAGCTTTGCCTCCATCACCACAGCTTCACCCTTTCTAACAGTACACCCTCCCTCCGTGAAAGTGCAGATGTATCCCTGTTTAGCCAGCTGCGAGCATGAAAGGAGGTTTGCAGCCAAACCAGGGACGTGAAGGACCCCCTTCACACCCACTAGCTCCCCCTCCTTCCCCTTAATGGTGATCGTGCCGATGCCAATTGCTTGCAGCAAATCTCCGCTCCCAACAATCACGTTCCTCGAATTTGGTGGGAGAGGATGGTAGGAGGTGAAGAGATCACGGCGAGGAAGCATCCCAGATGTTGCTCCAGAGTCTAGAACCAGGAAGTTGGGATCAGCCAATGCACGACCAGCGAGAGCTGCATCCTGCCCTAGCATGAGAAACGAGAAACCATCATCGGAGGAGTCGTCTTGGCCCTTCCCCTTCTCATCCTTAGCAGCTGCGGCCGTTGCTCCCTTGCTGCCCTTCTTATTCCAGAGCCCCTTCTTCATCCTTTTCTCCACCCAATCAGGTTTGGTCACTGGTGGGGCCTCTCCAGAGTAGCCGTGAGGCTTCCATCCCTCAGGCCTACTCCAGCAACTCTTCCAAGAGTGTTTTTTGTTGCATCCGGGCACAAGGCATTTGTCCAACTCTTTCTTCTTCCCCCCACCTCCTTGCTGTTGATAGCCTTTCCTGAAGGAAGCTTTATCTGCTGCACCCATGCCTCCTTCTAGGCCTCTCCCAGCATCAACCTTGCGAGCCTCATCAGAAATTAGAACCTCCCAAATCCACACCTTGGTCCATTTCTGTTGCTCGAGGTGAAGGTACTGTAGTAATGCCTCATTAGCCGCTTGATCCAACCCTTGGAGTGCAGTATAGATGATCTCCTTCTCATCTACCGTGTAATCCAGCTCCTCCAAAGCCCTCACATTCTCATCCACCCTCTGGAGATACTGAACCATGGTCTCCCCCTCCCCATAGTTCCGCTCCATGGTGTAAAACCGCTTCCGCCAAGTAAGCACGCTTAGAAGCCCTTTTTGCAAGTGCCTATCTTGCACTCTTTTCCAAGCTGCAGCTGCTGCACCTTCCTTCCCCTTCAGGTCAATCAGCATCTTAAGAAGCTCAAGTTGCCCCTCCAAAGCCCAACACAGGTACTGAAATGCCTGGCGATCCTTCCGATCCCATGCTTCTTGAGCTTTGAGCAACTCCTCGCGACTTGGTTGCGACCTTCCGGTTCGAGTTGCAGCGGTTCCTCCTTCATTCCCCCCACTCAACGATGCTCCCCCAGCCCCGGATCCCACTTGGCTGGTTGCTCCAGTAGACGCCTCCCCAGAGTCAGCTCGTGGTCGCTTCTCCGATCCATCCAACACACTTTCTAGGTCCTTAATACCTAGCCATAGTGTGAACTGGAACCTCCATAGCGAAAAGTCCGAGCCGGTAAACCTAGGAGGGCCATCCAACTTTTGGGCCATGTCAAACCCTAGATCTGGAGCACTTCAAGCCTCTCTAGATCTCTTCCAATGGAGGAAAGAACGTCCTCTAACCGTGGCTCTGATACCACTGATGGAAATCGTGCAAATCTGGAGAGAACTAATTAGAGATTAAGTCTGACGAACTCAACGAATCATTGCGTGCTGCTCAGGTAACTTCTAGAAATGAGCTTATACGCGTTGGAAAGGTCTTAATCTCTACTTTCCAGAATGATAAAGCACGTTCATAACCAAGATCTGAGCCGCCGATTATGACGAAATCAGTGTGAGGGGGTATTCTTGTAATTTGGCTAGGCAGCCATGAATCACCTAGTAAAAACGAGAAGGGAAGCAGTTCGATCTGGAAAAGTTTCAGTATGTGATTGTCAAACACCACCAACCCTTGCCCTAGACCAAACCCCAACACTCTCAAGTGCCATGTCTGCAACATCAAAGATGTTGTAGTGGATTTGAGGTTGTATGGGTTGGAAAGGTAACGGGTTCAAACCTTGCCAACCAACCCAAGTCCTTTTGCCCAAAACCCAATAGCCCACAACCAGCTAGAGCAAACTACACCACAGATTACTACACATTTATCATCTAGTGCCCGCGACCACTTCCTTAGCCAGCACCCGGGTGACCTCACCCTGACCGCCTTTGTCGACACCCTCACCGAGATCGAGACTCGCCAGCGCACTATCGCTCAGTAGAGCAGGGCGCCGGCAGTCTCTATGTTTCACGGCTGTGCCCCCTCCCAGTGCACGTTTACTGACGTTTCGGCTGCAGTCGCCACTGCGAACCCTCTTACCGAGACTGCTGCTGCGGTCCACTCGCAGCAGCGCTTGCGTCGCGGTGGCCGTGGCCGCCAGGGAGGTCGGGGTGGTGGCGCTGGTGCTGGTGGGAGTGGTGGTGGTGACGGTAGTCCGCCTAAGTGGACTACCACCGGTGGGCAGGAGCAGCTGCAGTCCCCTCCGCAGCAGGAGCAGCCCCAGTAGCAGCCGCCGTCCCAGCAGCAGCCGCCGTCCCAGCAGCAGCCGCTGCAGCCGTGGGCTCGTCTCCTGCCTGGTTGGCCCGGCACCTCTGGAGGTAGTGGCTGTGGTGGCGGCCCGCGCAGCTCGGCGTCTACTGGCGGCTCCGGTGCTGTGACCTGCCAGTACCAGCTTCAGACCGGGCCTCTCCGCGGAACTCTGTGCCGCCGCCCGCACCCGACCGCCCGCTGTTTCCGCCGCCTCGACGATCTCTCGTCGTCGCTTTGGCCCGGCCCCGGACCTCCCCGACAGGCACAGCCTAATCCGCCAGGGCGTGCCGATCTTTGAGTTAGACAGATAGGTGCTGCTTTGCATCCCTTGTATTCTGACGCTTCTAGCGTTGCTAGATCTTATTACCCTGTGTACTCTAGTTTAGGTGTTGCACCCTTGTGTAGCTTAGCCTCCCCTGCTGCGTCAAGCGTAGGACTGCCTAGTTTGCCTAGCCTAGTCCCTGCACCGGCTCCATTCCCGGCCTCCGACTTTGCTTCACTGTCCTTCACTCTCGACTCCAGTGCTTCTGCCTGTTTCTTCCGCGATCGTTCCACGCTCACTCCGCTTGCTGCGCCTGCTGTTGTCTCTCTCGCTGACCCCTTTGCGGGTCCTGTCGTTGCTCGCAGTTCCACGTCCCTTCCATGTCCAGCAGCTCGCTTGGGCTCTCTTACAGGCCTCCACGTTCCCTCGTTCTCGAGGAACTTGGTTGGTGTCAGCTGTCTCCAGGACCTCGGCGTCACCATTACGTTCCCTGGGCACGAGCGGTTCGCTGTCTGTTCTGAGGCAGTCTCAAGTTCCCCCCTTGCGACGTACCCCCGGGACCCGGTGTCCGGTCTGTTCACCCTAGACACCGCTTCCCCCCCGGTTGGTGCGTCCTCCCAGGTCGCTGCAGCGTGCTCGTGTCGGTCCCTCACTCACCCGTCCCTTTTGTGGCACCACCGCCTAGGTCACCCTGCTCTCCCGCGTCTGCGTCATATGTCCCAGCACGGTCTTGTCTTAGGCCTCCCCGCGTCGCTCCCCGCCCTTCCCCTCTCGCCTGCTCCACCGTGCACGCCTTGCGTCAAGGGCCGGCTCCGCCGTGCCCCTCACTCCTCCTCGCTTGCCCTACTATTGCTCCCCTTCAGACCCTGCACCTGGACGTTTGGGGTCCAGCCCCCGTCCCCGGACTGCGTGGCGAGCGCTACTATCTTGTGCTCGTCGAAGACTACACGCGCTACACCACGGTGTTTCCCCTGGAGTGGAAGGCCGACATGCCCGACGTTCTTCTCTCGTGGGTTGTATCTGCACGTCTTCACCGCGGGCTCCCCGTGTTGTGTCTCCACTCTGACCGTGGCGGCGAGTTCGCTTCTGGTCGGCTTGGACAGTTCTGTCTTGCGGAGGGCATCACCCAGTCGTACACCTTGCCGGACTCGCCACAGCAGAATGGGGTTGCTGAGCGCCGCATCGGCTTGGTCATGGAGGTGGCTCGTACCTCCATGATCCATGCCGGTGCACCCCATTTTCTGTGGCCGTTCGCCAATCGCTACGCCGCTCACCAGCTTAACCTGTGGCCACACTCCCAGCGGCCGCAGGTTTCGCCGACCCTCCTTTGGACCGGGTCCCCCGGTGACGCGTCTGCGTTCCACGTCTGGGGTTGCCTTGCTCACGTTCGTGCCTCTGGCACGGACAAGCTCAGTGCCCGCACTATCCCCTGTGTCTTCCTTGGTTTTCCCCTGGACTCGTCTAACTGGCTCTTTTACCACCCGCAGTCTCACCGCTTCCTCCACTCTCGTGACGTCACATTTGACGAGTCCGTCTCCTTCTACCGTCGCTTCCCTCACCGAGGTCTCCCGGTTTCCCCCCCTCTGTTCCTTGCCCCCTCTCCCCCAGTAGCCCCTCCCCCCCTACCGCCTCGTCCTGCCCCGTCTGTTGTCTCCCATGTCACTCCCCTACCGTCAGTTGTCCCTGTTGAGGAGTCTGCTGACTCTGGTGGTCCCCCCGCCCCCCCTTTGCCGCGTCCCCCTTCCCTGGTGTCGCCGCCCCCGCTGTTGCAGTCGCCGCCGCTGCCGCCGCCGCCGCCGCCTCCGCCGTCGCCGCCGCCGCCGCCGCTGCCGCTCTTGGACTCTTGGGGTGCTGGCGCTGAGGAGGGTGTTCGTCCTGCGGCTCCTGGCGTAGTCTGTCCTGGCGGGCCTGGGGGTGCCGCTGGGGCTGGAGAGGGTGCTCGCTCTGGGGGTGTTTGTTCTGGGGGTGCTGCTGTTGAGTGTTCTCCCGGAGGTCGTCGTGCCCCTACCGGTTCGAGGGTCGAGCACCAGCCGCCGCCGCAGCCGCCGCAGTCGTCGCCGCCGGTCTTCGCTCTTCGCCTGCTTGGTGTGCCATCCCCTGACCGCTCGCCGGTGTCTCCCTCGCCTCCTCCTCACCTTCCTGTCTACGGCCCTGTGTTCCCGCCCCCGGACTCTTCTCTGGACCGTCTTCCTCCTCGTTCCCCCCTTGTGTCCCCTCCGCTGTCTCCTGACCCTACACCTCCGTCCCACATTTGGTCTCGCCGTCCCTCCCGTGCTCGTCCCGTCTCCCCTATCCCGCGCTCCCATCCTATGTTACTCCGTTCTCACTCGTCTCGTCCTCCCCTCCTCCCCTCGCCTCCTCCCTCGTCGCTTGTTGTTGCACCTCCCCCGCTGTCTGACTACCTCCGTGCCGCTCGTCCCCTTGTCCCTCGGGTCCTTGCCTTTCTTGTTACAGACCCGTCTATTCCTGTCTCTTGCCTTGACGCGCTTGTCGCTGCTGTCGCTGACTTCGCCTCCACCCGCCACCTTGACTACACTACTGCTCTGGTCTCTGACCCTGCCCATCCTATGTCCGTCGGGGGTGCACCTACCCTTGGCAGTGACGTACTAGAGGACAGGCAGTACGAGCTTGCTTTCCTTTCCGAGGTCGCTCCCCATCTCTGCTCCATGCTGTTAGTCCCAGAGGGTGACCCAGACGCCTTCGACATCCCGACCCCTCGCACCTACGCTGAGGCCACCTCAGGACCCTGGGCCTCTCAGTGAATAGCTGCCATGGAGCAGGAGATGGCATTTTGGAGGTCCACCGGCACTTACGTCGAGGCAGTTCCCCCACCTGGGGTGAACGTAGTCGATGGTCGGTGGCTCTTCAAGGTGAAGCGCCCCCCTGGAGAGCCGCTTGTCTTCAAGGCGCGCTACGTGGCCAGAGGCTTCAGCCAGCGCGAGGGGGTTGACTTCTTCCAGACCTTCGCCCCGACCCCGAAGATGACCACTCTTCGGGCGCTGCTACACGTTGCAACACAGCGCGACTACGAGCTTCACTCCCTCGACTTCTCTACTGCCTTCCTTCAGGGTAGTCTACACAAGCAGGTCTACCTGCGTCGACCTCAGGGCTTCACTGGTACCTTCCCCTCTGGGACCCAGTGGCTTCTCCGGCGCCCGGTCTACGGCCTGCGTCAGGCTCCTCGCGAGTGGCACGATACGCTGCGTGCCACGTTAGCAGACTTGCAGTTCTTTCCGTCCTCTGCTGACCCCTCGCTGTTTGTGCGTTCTGGCCAGACTCCGTTCTACATCCTTGTCTACATAGACGACCTGGCCTTTGCTACTGCTGACAGGGACGCACTGGCCTCTGTGAAGGCCGAGCTGCTGAAGAGACACGCCTGCACTGACCTTGGAGAGCTGCGTCGCTATCTTGGCCTGCAGATCTTCAGGGACAGAGCAGCACGCACCATCACTCTGACACAGTCACACTTGGTGCGTCAGGTCCTTCAGAGGTTCGGTCTTCAGTTCTCCTCCGCACAGCCCACACCTCTACCTGTAGACCATGGGCTCTCCGCTCCCGTTCCTGAGGAGCCAGTAGAGCCCAGTGGCCCCTACGCGGAGCTGGTGGGTTGCCTCATGTACCTGATGACTTGCACTTGCCCATATCTTGCATACCCTCTCAGCATCCTGGCTCGCTTTGTGGCCACTGGCAGACACCGACCACAGCACTGGTCGGCCGCTAAGAGGGTTTTGCGATATCTAGCAAGTACATCGGGCATGGGGTTAGTGCTAGGAGGACGCAGGCCGGTGGTCCTCACTGGGCACACTGACGCTTCTTGGGCAGACGACTCTGAGACTCTCAGGTCGTCTCAGGGCTACTGTTTTAGTCTTGGTTCAGGTGCTATCTCTTGGAGATCCACTCGCTCGTCGTCTATTGCCCAGTCCAGCTGTGAGGCCGAGATCTACGCTGGTGCCATGGCGGCACAGGAGCTCCGCTGGCTGACCTTCTTGCTCACTGACTTAGGTGAGCGGCCTAGCTCTGCCCCGGTCCTGTACGCTGACAACAGGGCCATGATCCTCCTGTGTCAGGAGCGCTTGAGGG